CTTAGAATAGAGAAAAGACAATGCCCACTCCTGCTTCCGGCTCGCTCCTCGCTTGCCACCTCAATAATCAATAGTCTGAACACAAATCTGAAGTTCTATCTCAATGTGCCACGCGACACATCAATCTGTCCTCATCAACAAATTGGAGCAATGTGGACATTAAGAAAACCAGGTACGTCTCTACAATCGCCCCATAGTTACGATCTTGTCCTGAGTGACGATGAATCAGAACAACAATGTCAGTCATGTAACCTCGCCACGTCTGCAGCAATACACGTGGCAGCAGCCACGTCAGCGGCGGCGTGTGGAAGCTGCCACGTCAGCCTGCCCTGAAGACAATTGGCAGCCAGCACCATGCCAAGCCAGCAGCATGTCGCCGTAGCCGCCCTAAGTGCCAGCATAGAGCCAGCGTCGTAGTCAACACGTGAACTCAACATTGACGCAAGACAGAATGTTCTCCAAGCCAGGAGGTCCAGGCTTATGTAGCGTTGATGCGGGGTCTGGACCCCGGTTGCTGCTTCCTTTGACCGTCGAGATCTCAAGGCAAATGACGGCCCAGATAGACCTGAAACCGAACTCCTTGTGGCCTTGATGCTGTATGGGTACCTGCGCATAACAAGTGAGTGTATCCAACCAAGGGCCTGGGTGTGGTACCTTTGACAGTTGACTTAGACTTTTGACTTCCTAGGGAAGTGCGTGGTCTACTGCCTGGCAAAGGCCGAGTTCGGCCTGTGTTGTCCGGGCTTCATTCGAGGGCCAAATTTGCTGCAGAAAACGGGTTACTGCACTATGGGCGAGGTTTTTTTCTTTTTTTTTTAATCAATCAATCAATCAATCAATCAATCAATCAATCAATCAATAAATTCATCAATCAATCAACAATCAATCAATCAATCAATCAATCAATCAATCAATCAATCAATCAATCAATCAATTTATCAATCAATCAATCAATCAATGAATCAATCAATCAATCAATCCATATGCAAGGAAGATGAGCAATAGCGAACTTTAGCAATCAAACAACATCATATACACAATACCAGATAGTCGTGACCTCGAACCAACAACAAAATTGCATCACGAGTTTTACCAAATAAGAACACACCAAGAACTGATAATTGATAATGCTGGTAAAGTCTCATTATCATCATCAATGAAGAACCAATGTTAATATCCTATCTGGCGCTCGACGCCTAGACTATAGATGGCAGATCCTATCTAGCCTAGACTACAATGTCGGAGATTACGTCAACAACTTTCCCGAAGCACAAGCATACAACGACCAATGTCGCACGCTTCCAACACCAGGTATGTCTCTCGCCTCACTCACAACCTCGTTCCCCAACACACAAATGCCACTTGCACCCACGGACCACCCTGCGCCACACCCAGCTTACAGCAGCGCGGCTCGGCTATGGTTGCCTCTCCTTCCTGCTCGCCCGTGAGCGCGTGAGCGCCAACCAGCTTTAGCGCAGCAGCGCTTGCGCAACATGCAGCCAACACCCGAATCTCCAATGCGGAGGCAGGCCCTTTGCTATATGGAAGTGGCCTGCCTGCTTGCTGTCCCAGGATAAGCTGGGCCTTTCCCAAGAAGCTTATGGTAGGCCCAGGTAGGCTGAGGCCCAGTCCACACAACTAATGTTTTGGGCATGTAGGGGCTGCTCGCGCCCAGCTGTCAACGGCCTGTGTTAGGCCCACATTCCGTATCCAGCCCAGGGCCTGTCTTTGATAGATTCAAACAGGCTGCCCAGGGCGTGGGTTGTTCCAACCAACTGGCGCTGTGCAACTGCCTGAATTTCCTTGAGTTGCGTGGTGACCAAAATAGGGGCCCTGAGGCCCTCGTCGTGCCTGCCTTCACTTAGGGCGGCCGACGTGATACTTGGTAGGGCCTGAAAGGGGCTCATAGGGGCATAAGCCTCGCATTCCTTCCTCCATAACTTCGCTAGCCCTCTGAGAAGTTCAGTCTTCGATGATCTGGCGTTTTCCCTTCTGCAGAGATTTCTCATATTGAGCTACGATCTAAGGAGCGGTCTGCATGAGTTCCTCCTTAGTGAACCAGCGGTCCTCCTTTGGATCCAGATGATGTCGAAACTGAACTCGGTACTGAGGCTTCAATTTAGGAGGACGTCCCCTGCTTGTCGGTCTTGGAACGAGCAGCTCCCTGTGATCCACGATGTCGTTTATGTCCACCTCTTCATCCATGGTTGGGGGCAACATTGAGCGTCGAGAAGGAAACTTATTTGTTTCCTTGAAAGGTGCAAGCTTGGAGGTGTGAAAGACAGGGTAAGTGTGTAAGTGACCAGGGATGCGAATAACATAAGACGGGCCATCCGGTTCATTCCCCATGACATCCAATATCCCCCATGGTCCAAAGTGTGTGGCATGAGTTTACGGGATATCCCGTACTCTTGTCCCAGTTCGGAGGACTTCACCCAGACTCTTTCCCCTACCTGGAATGTAGATGGGTGACGGTGTTTGTTCTCAGACTCTATCATCTCCGCTTGTGCTTTGTGCATTTGCTCAACGACCTGCTGCATCAAGTGCGCATATCTATACGCAAACTCTAGAATCCTTGGTGCAGCTGTCGGCTGATTGTCAGGTAGTAGAAAGTCTAAAGGCAGTCGAGGTCTGAAGGTCAGTAGCAAGCTGTTAGGACTGACTCCGGTTGCAATGTGCACAACATTATTGTACAAACTGGCGATGAGAGCAAGTTTCTCATCCCAATCTACCTGATTTGGCTTGATGTAATGCCTTAGCAGGTGTTGTACAACGCGGTTCATTTGTTCAGCCTGCTCGTTTGCCTCGGGATGATTGCCTGATGTCATCTGCAATTGCGTGCCTTGCTTTGCAGCTGCTGCTTTCCACAATTCACTGGTAAATCGCACGTCCTGGTCGCTAACGGTAGAGTTTGGCAATCCAAAATCTCTAACCCAATTCTCCTTAAACATTTTAATCCCATACTCCGTCTTAGTTGTTGCTGGCATTGCAACTAACCTAGCAAACTTACTAAACCTATCCACAATGACATAGAATCGTAGATGTAGCGCATTCCACTCTTGCTGGGGACCAGCGTATCCATGAAGTCCATGGACATGCTCTCACCAGGCCTTTCCAGGATCGGAAGGGGCTTCAGGAGCCCAAGAGGAGCCTGAGTACGTGACTTGTCCCTCTGACAGACCTGAAAAGTCTCCACGTACAACTTAGCATCTCTCATCAATGTGGGCCACCAGAACTGCTGAAGCAAATTACGCGCAGTCTTCTTGAATCCAAAATGTCATGTGGCATCATGACATTCGCCTAAAAATAAACTACGCAAAGACTCCCTATTAGGCACCAGTGTCGTACCCGTGACCGTGACCGGAACCGGTCACATGAACGTGACCGGCCGGTCACCGGGCCCAGTTTCTGTAAACGGCCGTTCACGGGGGCTGTTCACGCGTTCAGCGGTCACGTGGGCATCGGGGTAGTGGGGATCGGGGCACGAGGGGGCTCGCGCGGGGGCCTTCTACGCCCCCATGACTTCAATTTGTGCAAAAGGAAAAAAAAAAAAAAAAAAACACAAGATGTTATTTGCAAAATAAAAAAAGAATGGTGGTGGCGGTGGGGGGAGGGGGGTGAGTTGGCAGAGGACCATGGCGGTTCACAAAAAAAAGTAAAAAATGTTGTGCCCCCCCCCAAAAAAAACTGACCCCCCCACCCCCCCGGACCACCCCCAAACACCCCAACGGT